TTTACAGCGTCATCATCGTTAAAAGTTTTACCACGAAGGGAGTTGACCAGAGATCGAAATAAGTGGTAATCCGATGGCACGAGATCAGGGCTATATGGTGGGTGTAACATCGATTCCCAACCAATATCCATCAATTTTTGCCGAGTGGACAAAGACGTGTGCGGCCTAGCATTGTCCTGCTGGAAAATCACACCTTTACGATTGACCAATTCTGGTCGCTTTTCCTTGACCGCTGCATTCAATTTGTCCAGTTGCTAACATTCACGGATAATAAAAAATAACATAATAGTAATAATAATAATTTTATAATATAACATTTACGGATATCATAAAAATGGGAGTGAGAGACATCTATAACTGAAATCGACAATTACTTAGTTGCCAACCCAATACAATTACTACAAAAATTTGAGCGTACACCTAACTAAATTGACATTTTCAAAAATAAAAACGCAATATATGCTTTATCTGGATATTTTAACGGGTAATATCTTAAACAAATTTTTAAAAAATTAACATTTAATTAATAATCATTCATCTTGAATATCTCCCGTTATTTGCAGTAATATTGGAAAATATCGTATGCAAAAATTGCACGAAAAACCTTTCGTGCAGCTGAAAGCATAGTGGACATTGCAAGGTCACCTTTATTATTCTTAATGGAATACTATTTCTTTTTAATGGTATTATATATTTTCCTAGGAGAATACTATGCTTTTATAGACGTATACAATGACCTATTATGAAGGTCATTCAAGGTCAAACGTGGTAATAAAATAAGCTTTCTTGCATGACATAAGATGGGATGACCGTTCGCGTAAATGCAAAGTTGCAATCTTATTGTTTCTGAGCTTGTTCGAGCCCATGCTGCAATTCTCCGTTATTTCATGTTTTCTGGTGTAGTTGACACTTCTTGATAAGTAATCCATCTAATGGAGTTAAAAGTCAAGAGAGCGGGCTGGTCAAGAAACTGATCTGTACTTCGATTTGGGTAAAATTCCAAGTATAATGTGCTAATGGTACATTTTCTAATAAAGTGCCCAACGTATTTCGTATAAAATAATAAGTTCGTAATAAGTTCGGAGACAATAAGACAGATACGTGATGCAGTGGTACGGAGATTGAAACTTTGCATTTACGCAACCGGACATCGCATCGAACGTCATCTGTAATGTAAGAAAGTTTATTTTACTACTATATTTGACCTTGAATGACTTTCATAATAGATTATTGTATTCATTTCAACACCCACCATTACATCACGACAAAAAGTATAATATTCTATTAAAAAAAAATAAAGGTGACCTAGGAATCTCTTCTACGCCTCCACTCACACGAAAAGTGTTCATATCACAATTATGTCTCTCTCCGTACCGTGCAAGTTTCGTGTATAATATTACAAACAATTCAAGGTTGGCAATATTAAATATTAAATATTAAATATTAAATATTAAATATTAAATATTAAATATTAAATATTAAATATTAAATATTAAATATTAAATATTAAATATTAAATATTAAATATTAAATATTAAATATTAAATATTAAATATTAAATATTAAATATTAAATATTAAATATTAAATATTAAATATTAAATATTAAATATTAAATATTAAATATTAAATATTAAATATTAAATATTAAATATTAAATATTAAATATTAAA